ATAAATCTGATCTTATAGGCGTTCGCATTTAAATATTGACAGATAACTTAGTTTGTGGAAAAACTTTGTGATTAGAAGCTCTGAATTTTTTGCTGATTTTAAATATTTTATTAGTGTATATTCGATGATCTTAAACAAGAACCAGCTTAGTAAGCATGAACATTAAATTTTATCAACCTTACAAACTCATAATTTTTATTCAAAAAAACTCAAACAAAACAGAAATGTCCCAAAACATAGAGGTGCCGTACTATCAACATCATTTGTTCGGTAAACGTATAAAATCGATTCATTAAAAATCATGTAACTGACATTGAACGAGAGCAAAGCTTGAAAAGGACAATCGTTATATAAAATATGAACAATAATAATCGTATCTCAAGCTATTTACTTTAATCCCCTATTTTGTGCTGTATGCCAATGATTTTTTGTTAATGTTGAGGTCTAAAACAAACAGTTGATTTTTATCCAAATTTCTTGTTCAAAATTCAGCATTCAGGTTTGATAAAAATATTGACATTCATAAATAAATCCCATTGGCCTACAAACCAAATGTGAATGTGCTTGTATGTTTGTACACATATGCCAGGACATAATACTCTGAAAAGATATTATTAAAGGTTCACTTTTATTGGAGGGTTAGTAGAGGAAATAAATAGAGTTCATGGTCATCAATTTCATATAAAAAAGTTCTTTATGTATTGATTTTTATACAATGACCTAGCAGCATATTCTTTAATAAAAGTTAATGTTGCTAGAGCATGAAAAATCTGGTTATGTTTCTAATCTACCTCAAAATGTATACTGTGTACATATTCTCATTGAGAATTTCAATCCTCACTCATTCAGTCAGGCATTCTACAAAACACTCATAAATTATGTAACTTTTGGTGTGAATAGAGTGAAAATTCTGCTGATGAACAATACACACACGTCCTGAGATACGAACATTATAATATATGAGCTATTTAATATCGTTGTTGACTTATAAAAAGCACTTTGCTTACACACAGACAAGAGAAAGCTTTTTATTTGCTGATGACGCCTTTTTTACTCATCTAACACTTCCACCTTCTCTTCCTCCCCTCATTTGCTCCCATTTTACTCTCTCATGTATTCATTTTCATTTCATATTATATGGGAATATTGTGGAGCATGCAATGACTACAAGCAAATGGTGATATAATGAATGTAGTATAAATCTTTCTAGAAATACATCTCATAGATTAGACATTGCACCAGATTCTATAATATGTTCTTATCCTTTTTAACATAGCTTTGAGTAGTTCGGCTCAGTATGGGTCATTGGATGAAGAAGATAAGTTTTGATGATGTCTCTGATTTACATTGATTTAAATTTTCTCTGAACTGCGCTTTGACATGTTATTCACTGACAACTGCTTCCATTACTTGCCATATATTTTCTGTGTTATTCTCATTATGGCTTGTTCACTCTTTCATTTGTTTTCAAGCACTTCGAGCTTTTCCTGTCAAATCTCTTCCACCTACCTTTTGCCATCATACACTTTTATGTTTGTAAGTAAATTGTGCTGTTGCATGTCTGTCATTAGATTTCAATTTGCTTAGGAGTATAAAAAAATTTGTAAATGTTTTAATGACATTTTTTTACTCGACTTTAATAACATAATAAGGCTTGTATTGTTATGTTTTGATGTCCTGTTTTATAATTTTTATTCATTTTCAATTCCCTGTAGATGTAAACTAGCAAACTCATGTAAACATGTTTAGGAACTGGTATTTCTAATTTAGAAAATCTACATTAGTAATCTACAAGCTGTAAAAAAAGTTAAACATTATTTTTATAATTAAATAAATTAAGGTGAAACTCGTGAAACTAATGAAACTCCCAAAGAGGAATGAGTTTATGGATCAACATGTACCAACATATTGAAAAAATCAATAAAATAATAGATCATTCAAATATATTAACATAACTTGCTAATTCTTACAAAAGTTTTAATTATTATTGGTTATTCGGTAAGGATTGCAATATTGAATAAAGTTATGGACTATGAAAAGGAAAGCATCAACGAATGATAAGGAAAGTAACAAATTTGAATTATTCTCAAGCTATTCTCTAAAACTTCAGCATAGCTTTGATACATAAATTTAAGAAATCTTAATTACATCCTGTAAAACCTTTTGTTTTGCTGTTTTTGTTGACAGAATTTAGGTATGATAAGAAGCATTTTATGTAACAGACAGCAATTAAAGCTAATTATTATAAAATAAAGTCATCCTTTGATTTATTCTTTAATTTTGACAAAATGATATTAAAATGATTTTGATTACAACTATGAGTAGCATAGATAGGGTTTATAAGATGCATAGAGTACAATCTGATAAGTTTCAAATAACGTATGTTATGCATTTTATATTCCATACCAAAGAAGAGGATAAAGTTTCTTTCTGAAAATGACGATAATAAATCTGCGGTGCAATTTTCCTAGTATTTCTTCCATCATCATCATCGTCGTCATCATCAACAGCACAACTGTACTATCGGAAGCTGCTATTCTCCGTCTACAGTTGTACAAACTTATAAATGTACATTTTAATAAAATGAAATTTTCAGAAGGATAGAAAAGGATAATAAAGTGTGTGGAGGTGATGCATACCATCTCATCTTTATCATTACCAAGCTATGGTAAAAGTTGGGTGTTAACATTGTAACATTATATCATTAACAAGAAATTGCATTACCGATAGATGACAATTTTATAGGGCAATAGAAATGAAAGCTATGAAACGTTTCGTATCTGTTCTGAACATCAATTTTCACTTTGACACTTTCACGTTTAATCATTTTGCTTGATTGCGGTTCATTCGATTTACGTAATGTTATTTCTGTGTTTTCATGCTTTCGTCATATGATGTTTTTGTGCCATATTCAATAGATCATTACAAAAATTCATCACATCATTGAGACTAAAGTCTATGATATTAAAACAGCTAAGGTTTACGTGGTTCTCAGAAATAATATCAGTGTATGTTATTAAGCTGGTTGCTATGGATTCATTAACATTTTCTAATTAAAAATAATTAGCATCATAATGCTGTTTATGAATGGAGGATTAAAAATCTTTTTTTCCTGGTACAAAGATAATGAAGCAGTTATGTATTTGAGGTACTGAAAGATGAAGAAAGAGTAATCAACAATTTTTTACGTCTTCCTTTTGTCGAGGTTAGAACTTTTATTACAATGACATTTTTAAGATCAACTATCATACTTCGAAACTTAACTTAGAATAAGTCACGAAATTCAATTTAAAGCGACCATATTAATTATAAGTGTTGCAAACGACGCCCTTAATAAGGCAATAGATACCATGTATCCTATGTAAAGGAATTAAGAAGTAAGTAATGAACTTCATAATAAGTTTTAATCTTTGTAAAAAATCAGAAATATCAAACTTCGTGCTTGTCATGAAACCTTAGTATTTGGAAGTGCTAAACGTAAAGTGTCATTTTACAACCAATTATCGATGGTTCATTAGAAGTTAACGGACTGGAAAAACTTAACATAATATAATGCTCCATTAAAAGTTTAAAGCTTAGGCATTTCTGATGAGAATTAACAACTTGTTGAAATATATTAAGAATTCTTAATCAGGTAATTTTTTTTTTTCATTTTACACTTTATTGCATTTATTGACGACATACTGTCCGGGAATAATTCACTTTTTACACTTTTGTATTTGTATACATATGAATTAATATTATGTAGGATCAAACTTCTAATCTTCAAATCTAGGTTTCAAATAAACTAAGGCTCTCGTTTCGATCTTCTGTAGGCGTGACGTGATACTTTTCAGGTTCGTTCTAACAATATTCCATTCGTGGGTAATCTTGTAGCTCTCGTTCCTATTTCTCCCGCTACACTTCAAGTTCCTGACCCGTTTCTTAATCCAACGTTGTATCTAAATCCAAGTCGAAGTATCTAAACTTCTGAAAAAGAACAAATTACCTAGTAAACTTGATAAAAAAAGGATCAAAAATTGCTCTCATGAGAACTTTAAGTTCTTCCTGAAAGTTTTCAAGAAAATGTTGATAGTATAAAAATTAAAAGTTTGAGTCACTACTCTTAAAAGAGGGAAAAACTCAGAAGTTATTAACCTACAAAAATTAATTCTCAAAAGAACACTTCAACAAAGCTGATCATTAAAAAAAATTATAATTAAACAACCTTTTTATAGAAGATCATTAATTAAGATTCAAATATTCTGATGCCTTAATTTCATTCATGTTTAAAACAACTCAAAAGACTTAGACGAAGAAGCTAGTGAAAGCAAGAATACTAAGTTAACAATCATTTTATTCACAAAATTAATTTTTCAAGTAGATTTAAATAATTTTTTTTTTAAATTTAATCAAATAACCTTACGAATTACTTACGGACGTAAAATAACATGATTATGCATCAAATATATATGTCTGTTGTAAAATATTTCATTATTAGCATCTCAATTATCTCACTTACTCATCATCTTTGCTGTAAAAACGAGAATTTTTCTTCAGCAATTTTTAATTTTCAAAATTTTTCTTCAGCATGAAGATGAAAGAGTGCACAAGGATAACAATGTGAAGCTATGATAATAATGGTATTTCACTATTTAAAAAAATAATATAAATGAATACTCGCTTGCATTAAGCTAGCAAATTTTTCTGTTTCTCATTTTTTTCATTGCAAGGTAAAACAAATTAATTAATTCATGTGTTCCTTCAGCTGTTTTGGAAATGCAATTTTTTTTTTATAAAAGCTTTATCAAATTATTCTAATGTTATACAATAATTTTCCTTATTCAACTAGCTTAAACTTTTTAAAAAATAAATAAATACTAAAAGTCCAAAATTTTATTTCTAAAGCTAAGCTCATATGGTACGACGAATCAAAGTTACCAGGCTCTGTTGAGCTGGACATGTTGTTAGGAGACCTGTTGAAGCTCCCATCAATAAAGTCTTTAAAAATGTTTTTGAAGATGGGAAAAGATCAAGCGGACGTCCCAAGAACTCTTGGAAAGAAGCTGTTGACAGAGACAGCATTTGGTATGGGTAATTGACAAACGGTAACCAGCGAAAGAGCCAGCTTCAGATGCCATCTAAGGGAGGCCATAGATTACAATTGATCTGTGCGGCCAGAAAAGTAAGCAAGTAGTAAGATTTTTAAATGCACCTTAATATAATCACCAAATGTTTTGTAACTTGCAGAAATGAAAACTTTCCTATCTTTCTCTACATTTTTCTACTCATTCATCACGAGATCTCATTAACATTTTACATTTTTAGCATACAACATCTGAATTTTATACAGTTCCATATACGGAAATGTATGTTCAAGAATTTATTTTTTGCATTTCTCACTGCATTGACAATTCAAAAATTTATATAAAAACGTATTTTACATTGTAAATGTTGAAATTGAAAACACAAAAAAATTCCAGCATTTTTTTTCATGATCAAACTTTATAACAAGCATCTGTAGATTTTTCAATTGTTTGTTCCTGTTGAATGATAAACTGTTTATGTAACTTGCAATAAAATAACAAAATTTGAGGTAAAAGGCACAAAGTATCAAGCATGTGATTTATGCAAACATTCATTTTCATTTTTGAAATCTCATTTATTTAAATTAAATTTGAGGACAATGCAATCAACAATAGTTTGTATCTGCTATGTGTTTATTTTAATAGTTTGTGTGAAAATGTTAAATTAAAATTCAAATTCAGTTGAATTATTTTTTTTTGTTCTAAAATGCGTTGACAAATTGGGAATGTTGAATTGGCGATGCAGCAACGACTGTAATGTATTTAAGATATTTCTGAAAGTTAAATATTTTTGAGACTCAAACTTTTATTGTATGTTTTAAACTTTTTTAATTTTATATTCACACTGTATTCATTTATTGGTTTGGCTCAGATTGAAAAATCAGTTTTAAACATACTTTGAGAAAACCAAGCAAAATTGGTTAAAAATGCTCATTGAAGAAAAATTTGTGTCTGGAATTTTACATTTTCTGCAAAAAAATGATTTCAAATTGGTCGAGGCATTGCTAAGAAAATTACACTTTCTGTAAGCAAAAAATTACAAAAGTCCTCGTGTTATTGATCGAGGGACTTCAGCGCATTTTTGACGAAGCGATCAGTATTTGATTATAATTAATAATTTGCTGCAATGAATTTCCATATAGAAAAAGTTTATCATTTAACGGTTTTTTAAAATTTGAAATTTTACAACGGCTAGAAAAAATTTGAAATTATAGAGGTAAATTTGAATTTATAGAGGTAAAACAAAATTTGAGCAGGTTACACTGAAAACAAAACAAAAACTCATTAATTATAGCATAAATACACTGCTTGAAGACTTTTAACTGTTCGATCGGACAATAAACAATAGTAACGGAGCTAATAAAACAAATACGAGCTCTCTACGATGTCTGGTTGCAAAGTTTTTATGCTTGCCCGAACGAACGAACGAACGAACGAACGAACAAAGTGTATTATTGAGCTCCCTTTTCGAAAACAAGTTTTCAAAAATGCGCTAAAAAGCAAGTTAATCAGCAAGAAATCTCAATCACGAAACATCGAAAAGATTTCTAATATTTTTGCATTGCGCTCTGAAAGAAGAAAGGCTTCTTTCTTTTAAAAATTAAAATTTACTATTATTTTTTCAAATTCTATTCTGAATGAATTGAAGCTGAATACATCAAACATATGCTGAACGCAGCTCAGCCAATTCATCTATCTTTAAATCCTCAAAAATATGCTGAGCAAATCTCGGCCTATTACCAAGACTTTCGATGGTGCGGTGTTAATATATTCGCATTGGGTTTCTACTCGATACACTAGTTTAGTTCTAATTCTTAACATTATCCAGAGCTCGAAGTCGACTTGAGAAAAGTTGATTCGACTTCGAGCTCTGACATTATCTAATAAACAAATGGTCTGTCATAAAATAATTTAATTAAGTCAAAACAAGAATTGTAAATTTCAGAAAAAAATAAAAGACTTCATTAATCACAACTCTGCGAATTTATATCCGATTGCAATGCTTTTTGTTAAGGATCGTTCACTTGTCAGACAATAAGGTCAAAAATCCAATATATTTTTGAACATCCTATTTAATTATAATTATTTTGAAAATATTGATAAATTTTTAAACAACCTAAAATGCGAAAAATAGGTCAAGTTAAAAGTGATGTTTGCTTTTATATTGAACTATTATTTTAAATTTTATCGTGTTTAATAGCAACAATTAAAGAATTGTCATTCAACAAAATTAATTAAAATCCAAGGCGCAGAAACTCAGGATTGATCCTGAATAATCCCAAAAATCCAAAAAAATCCCTGAGCCTATAAACATGGAAATGTGAAATCCCTTTTAAATCCCTGATGCATTTGATAAATAATTTCGGGATTTAAAAGGGATTTCACATTTTCGTGTTTATAGGCTCAGGGATTTTTTTAGGATTTTTGGGATTTTTCAGGATTATCCTGAGTTTCCACGCCTTGTTAAAATCTGAGCATAAATTGATATCAAGAAATTACAAGCTGCTTAGAAACCACTTATTTTTCTTAAGAATTAACACGGAAGTGTCAATGATGATAAGATGCTAAGTTTTCCTGGTGCCAATAAAATTGTCAGATTCCCGGAAACTCATTGAATAAAATCACATTTAAGGTTGAATAAATAGTTTGTTGAGCATTATAACATATTTAATTATTTTGATACGGATGACAATCTTTGTCTGCAGATGAAGTTCCTGTGACTATTTTAATCATATAAAAGTCTTTAAATTCTTCCACTCATAGTTTTTTAAGTGATTATAAAATATGATTTAAAGCAATAATAAAATTCATTTGATTTCCACAAAAATTCTTCCAAAAACAACTCAAAGATCAGGAATTTAAATAAAGTGAATAAAAAGCTATCATATCTTCAACAAGACGTCTTCTGATTTCTTTTGATTCAAAATGATTGGTAAATTTGTGATGATAAGTAAGAGATAAGAACAGTCAGGAAGTCGGTGGATGTGATTTTAAATATATATTTTATTCTGCTTCTTATTCAACATTCAGTAATGATGTTTTTGTTTCAATTTGACTTTGCATACGAGATGGGAAGAAGGCAGAGCGAGAATAAAAACCAAGCATAATCCAATTATCATATCAAATATTTACATATCACAGCATATCATCTACAAGAAAAATTCTTTTTTTATTCAATAAAGTTTTTTTTTGTGAGCGTATATGCTGTTGCTTTTTTGGTATGACTGTTTTTTCTCCTTTTTCATTAAAGAAGCATTTCAACCAGCATAAAAAGAGAGAGAAAACTTTTCTTTTTCATCTCAATGGTATGATAATAAAGACGGAATAAGAAAAAGTTTCAATTTGTGAAATGCAAATTTTTTTCGATAAGATTGATTGCAAATGATAAGAATTAATTCTGTGCTGTCATTTTTGTAACGAAACTATCCTCTTTCGTATTTAGGTTTTTAAGGGAAACAGTGCTGGTTTTAAGAGAATAACTTAAAACAGGTCTTAGGTAAATTAGTGCCAAAAAATATAAAATATAACTCTGACATTAAGTTTGGTCCATAAAAATTATTAACAAGAATATTCTGAATCATTTAATGTTTCAACTAAACGTATGTGCTGAAAAAACAACCCTGTCAGAAAGTTTTAATTGAAAATTCTAAACAACTTCTTAATATATATCCTGCAAAATGAACTAAACTAAAATATATATATGCTCATAGAAATTGAGCTCTCATTGATGTCTCCATTGAATCTTATAGAATATGCAACAGCACAACATAATCTTCAATTAGAGTTCCAAAGGCGAGAGTTGAATAGTTAAAATGAATTTCGATTGATGAAGATAAAGAAACTGTCAATATGTCTCTTAATCCTCAACTTTCATTGAAAATAGTAATGAATTGAACGGGAAAGGGTCAAGGAAAGTAAGTAGAATAAAGAAGATCTAGAAGCGATAACGAGAAATGGTCATCAACATCATCATCATCATTTGGACAGAGTATTTTAGTTTCTTTCACGTTTTATGCTATATCTATTGAAGGAAGAAGAATAAAGAGAGAGAAAATAGGACAAATGTCAAACAAAATCACTAAAGATGTCTTTCGTACATTTCCACATTTCACACTGTATGTGCACAGATACACATTCACAGAAAAAGAGATAGAAAAACTGCTTTAATTCGCAATATGTCATTTCATGATTCTGGTATGTAAACAATATAAGTTGGGCGTTCACACACTCATGACAGCATCAGCATTAGATAAATCGTAAATATTTCACAGTTTGAAAATTGAATGAGATTTTTCTTTCGACACATTTGCTTGTGGAGATTCCAATCTAGCAAAGTTCTCGATTGAGAAATTTTTCTTATTAATCTCGTATTGATAAACTTGAAGTTTTCAGCAACAACAGTCATGATAATTAATTTCTATTTGTTTGCAACTTAAAGACACATACTGGATATGAATTTATCTTAGTTCTCTAACTGGTTCAATTTGTTTCTTTTTATCTATTTCTAACAACTTATCATTGGATGCATTTGAAGCTACAAGTGCTTATGCAACAATAAAAATCCTTTGATATCTTCTTCATGGTTGACTTGCTTAAAGTATTCATTATGCAGTATATTTATTTGCAATTTATTTTAACTTTCGAGATGGATTTGCCAAGTGTATTATCAATCATAAAACAGAGATATAACCTACTTAGAATCCCTACTGTTATGCTCTACATGAGAAATTGAATTTAAAAAAAGAGCTTCCACTTGAAATGTCACTGTATGTACTCGTGTTCCACTGATAAAAGTTTGAATAGCCGTTGAAGCTCTATCATAATCCTTATATATGATAACTCTTATGTTGCATCATTTTCAATAGACAGTTTTTCATTTTGACATAAAAGGCATTCATTTAGCTTCTCTTTTTTTTATAGACAAAAATGCTTTTCAATTCAAATTGTATTTTTTTTTGCTTTAATTTAAAAATTCGTGATGCGGTGCTGATATCTCATTTTAAAACT